CCTTGGTTCCACCTTCATCCATGCCACATGAGAGCCCCACGCTGGCCCCAGAGAAGCAGGCAGACACTGTGTCTAGGATGCTCATTCTCAACACTGAAAAACATGCAGACCTTTAAACTGTGCTATCCCCGGCAGTCCTCATTAAGACATGCTTTTTTGTGTTACACTCATGTTAGTTCTTGCCACCAAGCTCCATGCAATGCTCCTTCTACCCCAAGTTTCCTTCATCTCTTCATTCTCTGGAAGGAAGCACATGTCCACGGGGCTGGACCATGAGCAGTGTTCTGAGCAGGTGCCATGTTCTTCTCCTTCCCTTTGACCCCATCTGCCACAGGCAACGGTCCCTTCCCTCGTTCTCCTTCTGTCCACTCCCCTGCTCATTCACCAGCCACACGTTGCCATGGAGGAAATGCAGGTGGGATCAGCTGTCAACCCTCTGACAGACCACACTGTGTTGTGAGCATTTCCCGATTTGATGGTAAGTTATTGGGGCTGGGAGCATGTCTGAGAATTCCTTACCTTCACTGCACTCAGTTTGAGGCTGAGCTCCAAGGCAGTTCCCTAGAAGAGCTATTGATGGATTACTTAGCATTAGTAACTCATGGTCAAGCCAGAATGAGAAACCTCATTGGGGATAGAAATATTCATTGTCTCAGGTAGAGTGACCAAGCACCCGAATAGTTCAGAACCATTGTGATTTTAGCACAGCAAGTCCCACACCCCAGGAAACCCCTCAGTCCCAGGCAAACCAAGACGAGTGGTCACCTACCTCCAGGATTGTCCAGTATTTTTTTTCTTTTTCTATGAATTTTATTGGTATATTTTTGACATACATAATGATCACATTAATCGTAAGGAATTTGTACCTGTACATAATATATTTTAATTCTTTTTCTTCTCATTCTTTTCCCTTCCCTTCAATCCTTCCCTTTACAAAACTTTGTTTCTATTGTTTTCCTTCCATTCTTTTTTATTTTTTATCCCTACCCTATTCCTTTCTTTCCCTTCCCTCTCCCCCTTTGCCTGTTCTCCTTCCCATTCATTTTCTTCCTAGATAGATATAGGATTGCCCAGTGTGACAGTTACCTCTACACTCCAGACCACGTACCAGCTCTCTCACTCCAGCCCCTCAAGCACACTCCCATGAGCCATGTCACCATCACCTGGTGTCCTTTTCCCTAACTTGTACCATTTATAAATTAGTGGTCTACAATTGCTCCAAACTTTATATTTTCTTGCTTAGCTTTATGACCTTCACAGATACTGCTTTTTGTGGCATTTACATCTTTCTGATCAGCAGAGGGCCTGAGGGTCTCAGCAGAAATGCTGAGCTTTCCTTCTCAAGAGAGGCTGTATTTCAGCAATCCCTGGCATCTTCTTTCTGAATCCTTGTGGAATAATCAGCATTTAACACATTTTCTTATATTAGATTATCATTCTTGGGAAGTGACAGCTGAAGAAAGCCCCTGGTGTGTGAGCTCCCCATACCTTGTTATCCTCCCCCGGTCATAACTGCTTCTGTCACACTGACATCTTCAACCTTTCAACCACTACCCAACCCGACACTGCCTCGCCATCTGCTGATGTGACACCGACATGATGGCCTCCCTCCATGCATTCCTAAATGGTGCTGGGGAGGGAAACAGGGAGGGCAACTGTGCCAGCTGGCACCAGTCACACAAATCTAGACAGTGACAAATCATGACCTCCTATTGGGAGGAGAAATGGAGTACGCTGAAGGCTGTGGCACCATCAGCGTGGGGGAGAGGACCTCTCTGCTCCTGGAAGCAGAATCCACATGCGTTGAATCTGCTCTTGCTACAAATACATCAGCTTCTTTTTAATATACGATCACAAAAGAATGTTCAGTGTTCTGGGAATCAACATCTGAATTGTTTGATTTTCACTCCTTTTAAATCTTTAAATGGCATTAGTGTGGATGCTGTGAGGGTTTGAAGAACTGTTCGAAAATGACACACTTTCTGGCTGCTCAGGAGAAAAGCAAAGGCAAGTTGATATGTACTGGTGGGTGAGTCCTGTTTCATAAACTGCAGAAATCCCCACCAACCTGTATGCTCTTTGAGCCTCTGGAGTTCTCTGTTCTTATGTGCCGCAGTGCACTGATCAGTTCATTCATTTTCCCCTAAATGCTGTCTCCAGGATTAAATCAGATAGCTATTAAGATTTATTCTGCTGATTTCAAATTTAGGCAGATGACATTAGCTTTTATTGCGGCTGTTGCTAATGGTTTTATCAATGATTTTGATGTATCTAGTGTTATGATAGTTCTGCTCTAAACCTCTATTCTTTGCTTTTATATTGAGACCTTTCTCTGTACACACATTTGTGTTGTTTATTTCTTTTTCACTGTTTCCTTTTTTAAAAGGAAACGGTAGCAGGAAGGCACTCAATAAAATAGAATGCTTTTCCTCAAGAGAGGAAACTATACACTATTTTTGGTTTTGATTTATTGTTGTACAAAATTTCCTATAGATCCTTCCTATTCTCCAAGCAGACATCTCCTAAGAGATATGAAAGCCCAGCCACGTGGATGAAATATACAAAAGTCCCAGATCAACCCTGTATGGAGGACAGAGATAATTCCAGAAGCAGTGACTCAAAACTGTTAAAATCCTGGTGTTTCATCTCCAAAACATTCAAGTCAAGTAACCAGGGTCAGCTCAGTTGACGAGCTGTGCACAAAAGAAATAGAGACATCATAGTTTTGGCTTTATGAGCTACCTGTAGGTAAGAGTACCATTAGCAGTGGCAGCTTTTGAGTCATAATCTTATAGAAAACATACGAAGGGGCTGGGGATTTAGCTCAGCGGCAAAAGCGCCTGCCTGGCAAGCGCAAGGTGGTGAGTTCGGTTCCCGGTACCGGAGAAAAACAAAAACAAACAAACAAACAACAAAAAAAAAAGAAAACATATGAATTCAAGTCTCTTTGCTTTTGCTATAAAGAAAACAAAACTGAATGCTTGAAACAGCAGCCATAGCTGGCATTAAGGTTGGTAATATGCTCTTGGTATCAGTAAACAACCTCAGGCATGGAGAAACCACTAGAGTGTCCATAGATTATCGCCCGCTCTGACACTGTTATGGAAGACACTGGGATCCCCTTGGGTAGAAACTGCCAGACACTAGAAGAACATCACCTTTGTATAGCCAGAAACAGTCATGTACAACAGATAGTGAGTGGAGAGCATGATGTGTGGCCCGAAAGGAAGGGTGGTAATAGAGCTGACCAAAATAAAGACCTGTGTAACATGGTTGGGGGTTTATACTCGAAACACACTGCAACTGGATGATATTAAAGGTTTCTGAGTTGAAGACAAAAGGCAGGAAAAGGAAAATTGGAATGATGAGGAACATTATTAATACCAACAGTCCTTGAAGAAAATGAGACTTTCTGTTATAGTGAGGTAAAATTGCAAAAGTACTGTCCCAGGAGCAGAGGCAGTGGTGTAAGGCTGCACATCAGTGAAGTGGCTGAAGGATATGAAAATGGATATGAAAGCCAAAACATATTTCTGCTATGCAGCTGACCCACCTCACCCCCCCAACCTCTCTCCACCCTTTGGGATACGGTGTAATTTTAATGCTGTGCTATAGATCATTTTTTGTTGTAGGTTTTTTTTTATCTTGGAAATCAGGAAATGGAAGCTTCTAGTTGTGGGTGTGACATTAACTAGCAATGTCACTGTGGGTTGGTAATTTCAGGTCTGGAATAACAATGTTTAACTTCCTAACCACCCCCCAAAAGATTATAGCTTCCCCCTCACTGCCTTATACATACTTCTGAACAGAAACAATGTCAAGGTTAAGCCATAGAGGTATGACATTCTGCCAAGCTATGACTTTTTTCCAACAATGATTACTTTAATACCCTTAAATAAATGAATATTTTAAAATATTTCCCCATTTTCCTTTCCCTGCTTTACCAATGTTCTGTCTAAGCACATGTTCAGGTTTCTTGCTGGATCATCCATTTGTGGTGGATTTCCCTTATTGAACTTCAATTTTCTTATCTGTGAAATGAAGGTATTAGACCTAAAGAATTCCAGGAACTGTTCTAAGTTTCTACAATTTTACAACCTCAAAAGCCTGTTTTGTGTTTACCTTTATCAATGTCTTATGATGACATCTTGGTGTTTCCAAATATAAATAAGAAAAATAATACTGTAGTTCCACATCCACTCATCCCACATGACTATTAAAAATGATATTTAAACTTTGGTGAATGTCTAGGCAATTCTTAATGCAAAACAAAGGATAATGGTGTCAGTTTTTGTCTAAATCTTATGAAGGACAGGTATATAGTAAGACATGATCATCAGCAAAGTCTCCGCTTTACTGGTGGAAAGTATTTTGGAATAAAAGCAAAACCATTCTGGAAAAGGTTAAAAGTTATGACTAATGTCAAATACTGGCCAATAATTTAGGGTATGATTCTGAAATTTTTTCTTAGCCCTTTTGGGTTTTGGCTTTCCTGTTCGATCTTTCATTGATTCATTTATTCAGTCATTTGTTCCTGATTCATCTACCTCTAATATTTTATAAGGCAGATTACTACCTTTGACAGGTTATGGAATTTGTTCAGAATAGATCTTACATCTACATGCTGACAGCTTGCGCTGTCACTGCTCTGTGACCTTTCACCTTTGTCGTAAGTAGAAACGTTGCCTTCATTTCCGTGCTTTCAGTGCGTACACTGAGAACGCAGCAGCAGAAACTGGGTCTCTCCAAAAGCCTGGCTGTGCTCGCTCTTTCAGATGGAAGCTGCACATTATTTGCTGGAAAGTTTCTATAGCAGATGTTACCGGGCAGAAATGCAAGCACACACTTCCAGAGCCCAGAGCACACTGAGCCAGACATGCACACACTTGCCAATCCCAATACCAGGAGAGCTGCTGGGTGATGGAGGGAGTGTGCTCAGAGGGACCAGCACTGCTCCAAGGCCCTGCTAATGTCTCTGTGTGGCCATGCTGTATTTTCAGCTTGTCATCATGGCTGGGACAGTGCTGCTTGCCTACTACTTCGAATGCACTGACACTTTTCAGGTGCATATCCAAGGATTCTTCTGTCAGGATGGAGATCTGATGAAGCCGTACCCGGGGACAGAGGAAGAAAGCTTCATTACCCCTCTGGTGCTCTACTGCGTGCTGGCTGCCACTCCAACTGCTATTGTAAGTACAGAAATAGATGTGTCTTTACTGCCTTATAGAAAAGACATTTCCTGTCTGCTTTTTCTCCCTTTTCTTCTCTTCTTGGGCATTTACTAGGAGACTTATTGGTGGTGTCCTATTTCAGTCGAGTGAATGTAGCTCTGTATAAAAGTCATTAAAATATATTTTTGCCTTGATAGGTGGCTATTGATTTTTAGTACTTGGATTTTTTAAAATGTGAATTTTTAAAAGGCATATGTGAGTGTGACAAATCAACAGGCATAATTAGCTGCCATGTTAAGAATAGCTACTGTGCTCTTAAGAAGCAATGCTGTGGATTATGTGTATTCAGAAGAGATTCTGACTGCAAGGGCTTGCATTGATATAAAGACTCAGATCAGAATGGAACAGAATCCCTCCAACTAGTATCTCCCGCTGTGCTGACTGGAGAGGCCAGAGATGAGAGCAATTGCTTGACCCAAAGTTTGCTGTGATACATTCTTGATGCCTCTGACTCTATTCACATTACATCACTTTCAATCCAGTTGGAACTTTTCCTCCATCGACTTTGTTTTTTCTCTCATGACGAAAAAAAATTGGCCAGACAGTTCTCTCAGGAGACTTCTTCAAAGACATAAAGCTTGCAGGTCTGTGTTATCTATTGAGGCAATTTTATACGTAGGTGTTTTAGCTTCTATTTTAAAAATGACATTTAGAAGGAGTTTCAAAGTAAACACTTCTGTGTCTAAACACTCCACAGTGTGAGATTAGTTGGGGTGTAATGTCTACGTTACCTTTCCATCATTGTTCTTCTCCAGTAATAGCTGTTTCCTCACCTGGCCTACCTCCCCTCCACATGTCTTGTATTCTTTTGAGGGGACAGTAAGTATAACAATACTGAGTCAGACGGTGAAGGATGTACTCATTTCTCAGGCTGTCAGCCAAAATTTCATTTGCAATAGCAGTGTTGCTGCTTGAAAAGGGCTATAATTGTGAGAAGAAATGATGTAGACATAAGGAGTCAGCACTTCAAGTTCCTTTGGATCATCGATCCCATGTTCAACAAAGGTTCCTTTTAAAGAATGAGACAATGCTTTGGGAATAGCACTGATAAATTACAATATAGGATAGCTAAAAACACAAACTTTCTAGCCCCGCCTACCTGATTATGTAAATTTGGACAAGTCACCCTACTGATCCCCCTCATACAAAATGAAGATAATTGGCTGCTATTTCATGAGTTTTCTTGAGGCTTAGAAGTGACTTAGTGCAGTGCCTGCCATGTGCTAAGTGGTCAGAAGTTTTGAACAAAGAGCCTAGCTGAAAACCATGGTTCACCCGTCATCTGAAGAGAATGAGATTCCACTGAAAATCCCCATACAAGTCCTTCTGCCACATTCTTGAGTGATGGTAGGTGGACTTTCCCCAGAAGGAAGCTAATTCTATGTGCCTCTTACCTGAGCCTTTCTTACTGGCCTGAAGAATAAGAGAAAATATAGAAGGTACCCATCTTTTTTATTTTTTTATATTTTTGGTATTTTTGAGACAAGGTCTCGATATGCAGTTCAGGCTGGCCTTGAGCTCACTTTGTAGCCCAGGCTGGCCTCGAACTCTCAAAGATCCTCCTGCCTCAGCCTCCCGAGTGCTGGGATTGCAGGCGTGCGCCACCATGCCCAGCTCTAGAAGGTACCCATCTATATACCTCATGAGGTAGCATATTCCACCCCTGCCCAGTTCTGTCTGCAATGGTTTAATGTTTGTTGTAGTTAGTGTAACTGGGTTTAGCCTTGAATTAGATTCTCTTTATTCCTATCTCATACGCATATCATTTTCCTGAGTTTTTGGACATGCATCTCTGAGTGATCCATTGACTTACATGTTTTTCTTTCTTCTGTTTTATCCTAGGAAATATCAACTCTCCATTTCCTAGAGTCTCCTATAATTATTTTTTTATTAAAACAACTAAAAAAGAGAAATCAACTAATAAAAAAAATTATGAGCAAAAGACAAATGTGATGGCAAATACCTTTAATCCTAGCACTTGAGGCTGAGACAGGAGGATTAGCATGTTCAAGGTTAGCCTAGGCTATATAGAAAAACCCTGATTTATAAACAAAACAAAACTTATAAGGATAAAAAACACAAAACAATACTTATAAGGATAAAACAAAACTTATAAGCAGAAAATTAGAATAAGAAATAAAAGAATTGATAAATAAAATCAGAATAATTCTTTAATAAGTAAAATGTACCCCATTCTGGCCAGTTTAAGAAAGGTAGCAGTGAAAATAGCTTTAAAAAGAAAAGAATAAATAAGGAAAAAAACCCATCATAATTCTTTAAAAGTCTACAGTACATTTCAATATATTTTTTTTTTTTGTTTTTGTTTTTTTTGTTTTTCTCCGGTACCGGGAACCGAACTCATTACCTTGCGCTTGCCAGGCAGGCGCTTTTGCCGCTGAGCTAAATCCCCAGCGCCTTACCTTTCAATATAAATTGCATATATAATTCTATGTCAATAAATCTTACATCTCTATAAAATTGATATCCTGTGATGGAGAATTTACTTAATCCCTTTAAAAGATGTAGCAAAACTGAACAGATAAATAATAATAGAATAATATTCTAAACATGTCTAACCTATTTTTAAAACTAGTGCCAGGACATTTAGTTGTTGAATAATGTTATGTGCACATTTGAGAAATGAAAAATCTCAGCATATGTAAAATTTTATAGATTTTTAAAACGAAATGGGACACTTTTCACTGCATAGTACCAACAAAAGTATGTCTCTCCAACACTTAGAAAGTACACATAAATGCTCACAAAGTACCCTCAATAGTAACAATAGTCTCATGTAGGAGTGGTGATACAAAAAACAAAATTCATAATCAGAAAATCAGAATCAAAAAACAAAAAAAATGATAAATAAAACCAGGATAATTCTTTAATAAGTTAAATGTACATACAAAAATTGGATTGGTAAATTTATCTACTGGAAAAGTTTTTCAAAAGAAAGGTAAATAAAGACCACAAAAAGTTTGCAGAGCATGAGATTAAAATGCAAACATGCTTACTACTTAAAAAGGTGAAAGTAAAAGCAAGAGGACAAGCACACACAACAAAGCAAGAAATAGACTATGAATACAAGCATTTATAAACTCATCAGTAATCAAAGGAAAATAATTTTTAAAACTTACAGCTCTTTCCCAGTATAAAATCGGCAAATGTTTTAAAAGAGCACGGTACATTTTGTTGCAGATGCAGATACTCTCGTACAGTTCTAGGCAAAGTGTAAACTATTTTCTTTCTGAAAAACAGCTTATCAAAGTTGTATTAAAAGCTTAATAACCTTCAGTCACAATCATTAATTCCATGCCCTGGATTTACATCAAGGAAGTGGTCAGCGTTTTTAACCAAGATTTGTCTTTGGGGAATGTTTATGTCAACAATAATTATAAGAGTGAAAAACTTGGAACTAGCAAAGTTCATAACCCTAGAGCATTGCTGAAGTACATCATGGGGAGTCATGTTTTCTAAACACTTTAAATAGTGGTAGAACTTATTCATGATTTAATGTATAGATTTTATTCTAATTTTTTGTTTTATTTATGCTTTTTTGCAGTTCATGTTGCTTACAGTCCTCTTGGGTAATGGTTACATCTACATGTTATAGCATCTTTCTCTTTATTTTTTGCTTTTGTTTCTTTTTCTTTCTTTTTCTTTCCCCTTCCCTCCCCCACCTCCTCCAGTTTCCATTTTTTATTCCTGTTGACATTATTTATCTTAGCTCGTGTTACATCTTATAATGTTTCCATGCATTGGGGTTATTAGGTTCCTGTACACGGCACATCTTTATTCTTCTTATTTTCCCTTCCTCTCTTCACCCCACACCTTTGTTCCCTTGGATCACTTCTCTGTTGCAAGAGATCCATCTCCTCATTCCTTCTATACATCCTTTGTCATTTTCTTTATTTATATTTTGCTTCATTCAAATGAGAGATACTGTGTGGTGTCTAAGCTTTTATGTCTGGTTTATTTCACTCAGTATTATGTTTTCCAGGTGCACCCATTTTCCTACGAATGTCTCAACTTTGTCATTCTTTGTAGCCACATAGTATTCCATTACATAGATACCACATTTTCTTTATCCAATCATTTATACAGGCTGCTTCCAGGATTTAGCTATTACAATTTGTGCTGGTATAAACATTGGTATGCATGTATCTCTGTAGTATGATGATAATGTGTCTTTCTCTAGAATAAGATGATATGCTTTGAATAATTCACTAGTCAAAATTGACCCCGATTGGTGAATTATATCTGTTCTTAGAGAGCTATTATCACCTGAGGGAGTTCCACGCTATGATTTCCAGTTGAGGGGACTTTTGTAATTTGGTATGTATATCATGGGACTTCAGAAACTGTTCCTACTGAATTGCTGCTACACAATATATTGACTCCTCTGGGGAGTATGATTTTAAGACATCCTGCATTTTGTGATATTTATGTTGCCTGCATGCACCTGAACTCTACTATTTCACCAGACCATCATGGCAAGGACACATGCTGAAAAGGTATAGGTAATGTTGCCCTGTGGTTCCTTCTAAGTAGCCTATGTTTGTCTGTGGGTCTGAATATTTAATCGAGCCTAAGAAAATGCCTTGTGGGTTATACTTGTTGCAAGTATAATCCCAAATTTATAATTATATAAAAGGACTAGAATCCAGGAATGTTGGTGGATCCCATCTGTAATCCTAGCTATTCAGAAATTTGAGGCCAACTTGGGCAATTTAGTGAGACTGCCCCAAAAATAAAAAATAAGGATTGGATATGTAGCAGAGTGCTTCCTAAGTATAACCCAGTACTACAAAAAAAGACTAGAAATAAAGTAAAACTTTTCAGCTACTAATCTCTGAATACTAATATGCTAATTTTTATACATTTCTTTTCAAATCCCACATTAGTTTCAGTTATTTTGGAATCAGGAGGTATATTTTAAAACAATTTGGGGGCTGGGG